ATCCAGGGCAGGTATAAGAGTGAAACTGGGAGCACATGGAAAACTTGTTCCACATAGAATCACAGAATAGGGAGAGTTGGGAGGGACCGCGAGGGTCATCTAGTCCAACTCCCTGCAATGCGTGAATCTCAGCTGAAGCATCCATGACAGATGGCCATCCAACCTCTGCTTAAAAACCTCCAAGGAAGGAGAGTCCACAACCTCCCGAGAGAAACCGTTCCACCATTGAACTGCTCTTACTGTCAGAAAGTTCTTCCTGATGTTTGGTTGGAATCTCTTTTCCTGCAACTTGAAGCCATTGGTTCGAGTCCTATGTTTCAGAGGAGGAGAAAACAAGCTTGCTCCATCTTCCATGTGACAGCCCTTTAGATAATGGAAGACGGCTATCATATCTCCCCTCTGTCTCCTCTTATCCAGGCTAAATATATGCAACTCCATCCACCATTCCTCATAAGAAACTAGCACAGTTCACCCCCAGGTGCTGGAAACCTGGTGTACTAATGCTGGACACATAAGTGAGACAACCAGATTTAAAAGAGATGTGCGGTATGTCCCACAGGTAAGTTTTTTTGGGGGGGAGAAGGGCCGTAGCTCAGAAACACAGCACATTATTTGCATGCAGCAGGCCCAAGTTACAATGTCTGGCATCTGCGGACAAGTCTGGGAAGGACTCCAGCCTGAACACTTGGAGAGCTGATGCCAGTCTGAGTAATGATATGAACTAGGTGGGCCAATGATCTGATACACATTCGGATGTACTTGCATGGCTGACACCACATTTAAATTGGGCCTCGGAGTCTGTGCCTGTCTCATGCACCTAATTGAAGAGGTAAGTCCATTGCTGTTTGCAGAGAGCGGAAGGAACATATGAAGATCAGATTGTCTCTGCTTCAGGAATGGGCTGTTGCAAAGGTCCTGGCAATGCGAATGCAACATCAGAGAAAGTCCTGTTCACGCAGCAACAATATATATATTTCTCTGAGCCCAGATTGCATTATGCTTGTGGTCCACAAACATTCTGGAGCATTTGTCAAAAGCACAGGATCATATCCAATATTGTGTGAGTAGAAGGCAAGCTCGTCCAATGGATGTTTCCCTCCCCCTCCTTCCCCCAAAGCCTCTGCAGAGGGTGGAACAAAGCCTTTCTCTTTGAGATTAAGCAGATCAGGTTTCCCCCCAATTATTTTTTAATTTACGGTATTTTATACATTTTCAGTGTATTTCTAAACATATTGCGAACCCAGAGGCTTTCAAATAGGACTAGGTCACTTTTAAATAAGTATAGTTACACAGAAGTAGAACTCTCTGAAGACTGGAGGAATTACTTCTGAGTAAGAATACTGAGTATTAGGACCCCTCCAGACTGGTATTATAACTGCAGGTATATCCTGAAACCTGTTATTGACTCATTAGTGCAATAAAGGTGTTTTTATTCAGTTTCATTAGTTGTTCTGCAATGCGTCCCCCAAAGCTACCTCATTATTGCTATCTGAAGGGCAATAGAACAACAAAAGCAGGACACACACACACCCAAACATCCGTGATATGAAAAGTTGTGGCATTTCAGCAGAAAGTTACAGGATATACACTGACTGAAAAGGAAGTGGTATGACTGCCACAAAACTTTTGCAGGCACAAATAGTATTAAAAGTGGGATTGCCCAATAGGCACAAACCACAATGAATGCGCAATACAAAAGACACCTGGAGGGGTCCTTGCATTGCTAGTCCCATCTAACCACACACATAAAGAGCATGGGGAACCTTGGCCTCCAAGTAAGCATCAACAGTACAGTCAGTTATGCTGGAGTTCTTGCCATCCAATGTGACTAGTCAGTGAAGCAGTGGCGTAGCGTGGGTTGTCAGCACCCGGGGCAAGGCAAGTAATTTGCGCCCCCTAACCCGTGGATTTTAGCACTTGAGTGCGAGCGCGTCCCCCCCAGATGTTGCGCCCGGTGCGGCCGGCCCCCCCTGCACCCCCCACGCTACGCCACTGCAGTGAAGTTTTACAATTCCTATTCAGCCCTTTCTAAATTAAGAAGCAGGTTGACCTAAGTAAGTCAGCAGCAACAACAATGATTTACAGAGGTAATCAAGGAAGGACTATAAATTCTATTTGTGGCTCTAAGACCAGCTCACCTGCTCATTTTCTAAGAAGGTAAAACCAAAGGCCCATCTAGTCCAGCATTCTGTTGACCCCAGAAGCCAAGAAGATTCCTCTGGTAACCCCACAAGCAAGACATGAAGGCAACAACCTTCTCCCTTTGCTGATTTTTAGCAAATGATAAGCTGCATATAGCAATTCTGCTAGTCGCTAGGAATGGGCAAATATGTCAAATACAGTTTCTCTCAGTTTCTCATTTTCCAGTTTTCCATTATTTGTTGGGGTTGTTTTTAAGTTCTCATGAATATTCATCAGCATTTTCATGTGAATTTCTCCAACTACACAATATTTTAAATGCAGTTTCCCTTAACACAATACATTTGTGTATGTTATTTTCACAAATATATGCATTTATATGTGCACTTTAATGTACACATTTTTGAATACATTACTTGACCAGAGAACAGCCTTGCAAAATTCAGATAACTATAAATTTTGAAGGATAGCTTTATTTCAGGTTGCATATTGTTTTAATAAGTGTGAATTTGCCTTTAAATACGAACTTAAATTGTTTTCTCCCCCTCATCCCTACTAGTAACCAGTAACAGGGCAGTGTACATTTAGGGGTCTTTCATCACAGAAAATTTGTAAACCAAACTAGTACGGACCTCAGTGACATGACTGCCATAACAATTTTCTGCATGCATTTTCTAAGTATGTCATGTAGATTGGTCCTATAACTGTTTAAATAAATCACTAACACACTTTCAGACAAAGATGCTAGATTTTTAATATAGAAGGAAGCTCCTTAAATAGCTGGGTAAAAGGCTGTACAGTAGTTGCTGTATAGAACATTGGTCTTCAGCTGATAGCTCCTGCCCAACAACTGGATGATGTTCTACCCTAAGGTGCTTTGTGCTCTAATCATAGAGCCCAGTTGTACCAAAACCAACAGTAATAGTCCCACAAACTTTAAAAATTGTCATGGCTTGAACCAATCATTTTCACAAAAAGACCTTAAGGTGAAATCTTTCATTAGCCCAACTCTTTTTAAAAAAAAATGGGAAAAGAAAAGAAACAGATTTTGTTTTTCATTCAAGTGAGTTATTTCAGGAGAACGCTTTAGGAAGTAGAAAATGCACACAACACACTGCACTTTCCAAGGCCACACAAAGCAATATAATAATGAGGCTGCATACCTGAAGTGTGCCTTAACAATTGCATCCATCTTCCCCAACATTTTACTTTATTCATAAACTAGTTTAGTGTTCTAATTGCTCCCCAAAGCTCTGCCGCTAACCTTGAATACCCCAGAATTGCTATCCAGAGAAAGCTACTGTAAGCAGTTGTCTACCGTGAGTACTGCCTTTCTGTTGAATTATCTTGTTTTCTTTTTTCCCTAAAGCACATATCCCAATTAAAAGCAGCATTTCCCCGAAGACCTCTGGAAAAAGGGACTGTATTAACAAACAATTTAAGAGTATGAAAAGTAACCTGTTCCCTAGAGTGTGCGATATGTGGAGGATGTAATTAACGGAAAGGTACTGCTTCTGCTGTTAGCAAGGATGCTTAGGCTCAATAAAAATTAAATACCAGTGTGGGCAAGACATCTCCAGGCAACACACATATATTAATAAAATTACCTCTGTCTGTTGCTTTACATTACAAAAACTGGGGCACGACTTGGAAACTAGAAGGATGCTGACTTAGCAAGTAACACAATGAAACTATTTCCAGGAGAGCAGTAGTGTTAGTATCTCGGAGCAAAGCCTTATACTCAGATAGATCACTGATCCATCAAGCTCAGCACTGCCTATATAGATCAACAGTGTTTCTCCAGGGCTTCAGACAGGCCTCTTTTCTAGTCATACCCAGAAACAACAGGGATTCACCCCGGGGCCCTTTGAATGCAAAGCTTCATTCCAAGTGCTCCCATCAGTGAGCTGGGATAGCTCGGTTGGTAAGCATAAGAATCAACCTCAGGGTCATGGGTTTGACCCCTACGTTGGGGAAAAGACTCCTGTATTGCAGGGAGTTGGGCTAGATGATCCTCAAGGTCTCTTCCAACTCAATGCTTCTCTGATAAACTATTGTATTGTCCTTTCCTCGAAAACAAAGAACACAAGTAGAACAGCTGCAGTGTTTCCAGGAGCAAGTGAATAATATGTCGATGTCGTGCACATTTAAGGACCTGGCTGAGCCAGCCGGTTCCAGACATAAATACATAGGTGTTTAAAGGTGAGCAAACGCATATATAGGATATCCACTTGTAATGAGTTTGCTGTTGGGAACACCAGTGTGAGACTGTTGTTTCCCATAGCACTCAAGGTGTGGGGTTGCTGTGAGAGCCACTGTGCAGGAAACCTCACTAGAGAATTAACAGAAGATCGTTTATTGCTCAAAAAGTTACGTAAAGAGAAAGCAGCAAATGCTTTTCCAAGACCCTTAAAAGAAGTGCTCAGTTTTCCCTTTCAAATGTTTGAAAATCATAATAAAAGGCTCACAATAAAAGGTATGCCATTTATCAGATTATTGTTGCATAGTTATAGAAAAAAGTGTAGGAACAAAGATGTAAGGTTGCATGTCAGGTTCCAAATTATGCCTCCTAAAGTCATCTGCTTCCTTAAAAAAATGAGGCTATTAAAGAGAAGCCAATGATGTTCTGAAAAGTTCATTTCTTTTTAGAATATTATTGACTGATTGGAAGTCCCTCCTAATTAGCTTCCTTCCTTCCTTCAAAGGTCACATCAGTTTCAATTTCCATTCTGCCGTTATCGCCTCCTTGCTGGAGGAGGAACCTTAGGAAAGGTCCAGTGCTATTTCTAGCAACACCGATACGATGGCTCAGATCCCTTTGAACAGCCCAAAGCCCACAGCCGACGTGGGTTAATTCCTACCTTTCGCAAAAGAAAGCAGATTCGTTCAATATTTCTCAATCGCTCTCTCTGTCAAAGAAAAGAGAGAGAAAGGGAAGGGTGAAAGGGTACAATTTAAGACACTCATGAATCAAAGAAACTACCTCCAAATGGAGTAAACTCAACCCAAGCGGTACTGTGATGAAGAGGGAGTGCACATGTATTGGGGTTAACGCCCATGAGGTCACACAAATTATTTTGACACAATGAGGATTAACTTCTGCAATCAGGAGCATTGGTGTCCATGGAGGCTCCCTATGCAGTTGAAAACTCTGATTTTCTAGAAGTTTCAATCACATGGGGAGCTGCTTTGGACACAAAAAGCTCCCCACTGCAGTTCATCCTCATTATGTGAAGAATTCTGGTGAATTAGTGCATCCTTGAAGACAATGCTGTACCTGTGTTGACTCTTCAACCCAGTAATGACTGAAAAGCTCTTGACTTGGGTAGAGTTCCATTAATAATTAATCAGTGGTAATAAAATCTGTGTCCACTACTTCAAGATGTAATGTTGTGTCTAAGGAAGTAATCCCATTCATGCAAGGATATCTGCTTGGACAGTGGAACTTCCTCTTCCTTTCCTCTCCCCATGTGCGCTCCCCCAAATGTGCTCCAGAGGGTTGGAGGAATCCCCAGAACAGATTTGGGAAGTGCGTAGGGGAAGAGAGGAAGGGGACAAATAAAATGATTGGTTTATTGATTCCATTGCACATGCAGAAGTCCTTGTGCAAATGGGACGACTTCCTTGGATACAAACCATTGTAATGCATTACCCACCAACATGATTCAGATGACACCAGGAAGCAGATTCAACCTCAGATCTAGTAAATTTGGTCACTTTAGTTAAGGTCTGCGTTCATTCTTACATCTGCCATGGTGTAGCAGAAGTTGCTTCCTCTGTTGGGTAAAGGGTACCACCACTGAGTGAATCCACATCCTTACAAATGGGCAGTGCATGATGGCAGTGAGGGCAAGGGGTGTCTGAGTCAGCACTGTGTAGACACTCTTTTTTTCCTTTGTGGCAAGAGACATCCAACAAATAATTGCTGCTTTAAGTGTAACCATGGTGATGAGCTTTGGCAGACCTGAGCTTTGCCCAAAAAGTTTAAGGAAGCCTTCTCTAGTCTTCCAGTTTAAGCTTGGCATTTCAGCTTGGTTAAGCAAACATTGCCACTTGCCTTGTGTGAGTGTTTTATTTATTTATTCATTTCACTGCTCAACATGCTTCACCGGTTTTCAAAGACGTTGGAAAAACCCCTCCGCCTTCCCTTCAGGTTCTATTTAGGTAAACATGGTTACTGTGCCTTTCACCTATGGAATATATCAGCTATTACATCAGAGACAAATTCTCTCACCTCATAAGCAAGTTTAATTTGATTTGCTACAGTGGCTATCTCCCTCTTACACTGTGAGACTTCGATCTACTTCTCTAGGCAAAAATGGACATGAATTCCTACAGCAGTCATGAGTGGCGAGCATACACAGTCATGCAGCTTTGGAGAGAGATAACTTCTCTGCTGTAGAGCTTGAAATCCTTAAAAGGGAAAATGATTCCCTAGGATGAGGCGCTGGCTACAGCCAGGCATCAAGGGGAATTTAAATTCTACATTCCCTCTGGAAATAACAGGTAGTTATTAAAGGTTAACAGACTTAAGCAGCGCAGCATCTACAATCGGTCTCTTAGTCATTTAACTATGGGCCATAGGCTCAAATAGCTGTTTTTCAAGCCTATCTTTTGAAGAGATGCTATTCCTGAAACCTTTGGAGCTGCCACCAGTCAGTGCTGGGATAAACAGTCCATAGCCTAACTTGATGTGAGGAAACTTCATATATCCACAATCTTCACCGCTTTGCCTCCACATACAGCTGTTTCAGATGTTATGGAAAATGTAGATTCCCCGCTATGTAAATAAGCCCTGGCAAGTCTCAAGCTTGCATGCTCCCTCCTGCTCTCCCTTCTTCTCATATGCTCCAGAGGAAATTGGAAGCATCTCTTTCCACTTTTAAACAAACCAGTATTCTCTGGCTAGGTCCCAACATGGAGACATGGTTTCTTTAAAATCTGTAAAAGCTCACACAAATCAGGATTAAGCCACTGTTTCTGATCCAGGCTTGTTCATTAATTCAAGTTTAAACAAAACACAATTCATTGACTCTGAACATAAAACAGGGCACTGTGGTTTGTTTAAAACTCAAGAGGATGCTTTTGATCTCCTCTTCTGGCATGCAATAGGAGAGGGAAAGAGGAGCATGTGAGGCCAAGGTTCATTCACATAGTGGGAAACCATCCTCTAACCTCTCATTAGGCCCATTGTCAGGATTTCTGGGGATGGGGTAGTTTTGTCACTATGTCATTATGGTGGAGCAATGGAGCAACAATCTCTCTATGAGGAATGCAACTAAAATGTATTTTCACTCATATAATTACCCACGGGGAGTCAACATGTCCATATGATGAGAGTGGCCAGATGATCAACTGACCACTTCGCCACATGACAAGCTATATGTAATGGGTGTTGACTTTGCCCTTCAAAAGCACAGCTGATTTTCAGTTATGTGAGTCAACCCTTGGTATGTGCCTTTTTCCATTCCAACACCCCTCATTTCTGAATCAGAAATAATTATATCAAGACTCACCCTGTTTACATATTAAAATAAAATTCACTTTTAGGCAATCCTGATTCAAATCCATATTTTTGTTGACAGTTTAGCATTATTATCAAAACTAAATTACTATAAAATAACAGAACAGAACTCACCGCATGCGCTGGGTTGCACTGATCTATAGGGCTCTTGAAGTCTGTCTTTAACTCATCAAATGCGATTATCTGCAAGAGAATTTTTTCAAACACTGAAATTACATTACTTGCAAACAGGTCCGTCCCCCCCCATTAATTTATCCTCTGCTGCTATGGAGAAAATCCATCCTTTCAATTATAATAGATTCAATCCAGATTATCTCCAAGACAACTGGCACTTGTGTCATCTGTGCATAGTCAGGCTACTTGGCGTGAATTTGTTGTACAAAAATGTGAGAATGGCAGTTGTTTGAACTTCCATATCTGAGAGATCAAAACCATGGACAGCTTCCCAGGTCCCAAGTACTTTCATCCCACAGACAAACCAGAAGAGCAACTGTGTCACTCAGTAGCAGCAAAAAGACCTAATGTGTGTTAGTGCCATAGAATAGGGATGGAGAGCCTGTGGCCCTCCAGATGTTGTTGGACTTCAATTCCCATTAGCCCTAGCAAACATGGCCGAATATGGGAACTGTAGTCCAGCAAAAAAAATTAAACCCAAAACTGGAGGGCCACAGGTTCCCCATTCTAGCTTCAGAGGCTAACTGGTCTGTCATGTCATTAGCTCTTGGTGATACTGAGGCATTTTTATCTTTAAAAGGATTTTCTCATTATTTTTCTTTATGCTTTTGTACATGAAGATTCTTACACATAGACAAACTGGAGTGATTTATTGGGAGGTGTGTTCTGCCCACCCAGATACATATTCCAAATATTAATACTCGTGTCAGCTTCCTGAAGTGTGTGTTCAGATCAATATGTATCTTTATGCAGCCACACTTACACTACCTTTTCTACATGAAAGCTCCAAAAATGTACCCCAGCAACCTGAGTGGACATATTATGGGCCAAAATATGTTAGGTTCTCTGGCTTCTATCCTCCACCTGGCTTTGAGGAAGACTTAGAAGGGGAGGGGGCATTGCCTAGAGCAGTGTTTCCCAACCTTGTGCCTCCAGCTGTTTTTGGCCTACAATTCCCATCATCCCTTGCCACTGGTCTTGCTAGTCAGGGATGATGGGAGTTGTAGGCCAAAAACATCTGGAGGCACAAGGTTGGGAAACACTGGCCTAGAGAACCGTCATCCTCCACTCCAAGACCTTCCAGATCAGAGGATGTGGTATTACTGACTCTTCAGACTCAGAGGGCAGCCCCAATGGAGTGTACACTGCTGTACCTGTGCTTTAAGACTCAGTGGCTGAAGAATCATGCACTGGCCCTTTAAGGACCACAGGGAATGAGGTTAACAGCTGGCCCAGGCCAGACAGGCCTTCATGCTGCTCAGACAACAGCTCTTCTTAGGCGAATTCCAGCCAGTTTCTCCCACAATGATCTGTCCAGGGTCCTGACAGGCTGTGCTTTGCCTTCCTTGCCTGTTGCGATTCTGAACAGCTTATCTTGACTTTATTCATTTGGGTGTATCCCTGCCCATTCAGTAAGTAACACTCCTCCAACCCAGCCTCCCCTAGAAGTCTCGAGCTGACCTAGGACAGGACGAAGTTGAGAGATGATAATTGTATGTAAGGAAAATTAACCTGCACATTTCCCACCCCACCCCAGTTTAAATAGGTGCTGGAGGAGGGCAAGCTGGATCAGAGCAATGGTGTTTGGTGGGGGGTTTCATTCTTGCCCCCTACAGCTGTTTTGATGAGAATCACTCCCAAGGGTCTTTTAATCCCAAGAAGCTCCTGGCACTTATGTGAGCTCACTTCCAGGGGCTAATGGCAGATGGGAGAGTTTTCATTGGTATCACACGCAGCAGGTAATCCAGCTTCCTCTCACCCTCATGGTGGAATATACATTACAAAAACTGAGTGTGTTAATTGCTTATACACTCAGGCCCCGCTATCCACATCCTCACTATCATAAAAATCCACTTATCCGCACATAAAGAATTAAATAAATCTTGCAGCATGCTCTGCAGATTCAGATATCTGGACAGTCAACTTTCTTACTTCCTTGTTTGCTTGTGCCTTGCTGGTCGGTAGCATCCATTTTCGGGCAGAAACCACAGAGTGGAGGGGGAGTGAGATCAGATGAATCAAGGAGCAGGAGAGATCGGATAAATCAGTTTTTTCCCCTTTGGAGGTTGGGGGAGAGATTGGACGAATCCCACATTAGAAATATTTCCATAGGAAATAATTTAAATCATGGACTTGTTATGTGAATACTCACCTAACAATTTCTGGCGAATGCATTCTGTTCATTAAAAGGGACCTGCATGCATACAATTAATATCTTTCTTAGTTTGGCCCTAACTCCTAACTTTCACAAATGCAGATACTTTGCTTTAACATTCAGTTCCTAGAATGTGCCAATAATTCTGCAGGAATGTGCCTACAGCTAGCTATCTTGTTATTCCTCCTTAAGTGGACCTACAAGTGTTAAACAATTATCATCCAATGGCTAATGGTCTGCCTTGATCACCCTGGTTCATTTGTCAGATATAGGGGAGCATCAAAAAGAATTTTTTTGGCGACTTTTGATATTGACCACAGTATCCTTCTGGAGTGGCTCAGAGAGGTTAATTCGCTTATTTGTGTTTCATATGATCTTTTATTTCATTTTTGTCTCATGAGTATGAAAGTAGTTTTCAAAACTTGGCCAAAGAAAGTGCTTTCCTTCATTAACAACATTTTTCCTGTTCGCTATATCTGTAGCATATTGCAAATTCTGAATCACCTAATATCCCCGTTTTTAAAGAAGTATGAGTAACATATGGGACCACACAATATGACATCTTGTTTTGCTGAGGTCATATTAAATAGTGATTCACGTTGGGCTCTTCATTCAATAATACCCTGAATCTACTGCTATTAAATTGCTTTTTGAAAAATGCAAAATACTTTAATTCCAAGTATTTTCTTATTTTATTTAAGAAAAAATATATTTTTAAAATGCAATGCTTCCCAAAGTTGTTTACACAAGCACACCTAATACATATTTTGGTAAGTGGTTTGTCAGTCTGACTAGCTGTCTATCTGAGCCAGTGTGGTGTAGAGCGGTAGACTCGTAATCTGGTGAACCAGGTTCGCATCTCTGCTCCTCCACATGCAGCTGCTGGGTGACCTTGGGCCAGTCACACTTCTCTGAAGTCTCTCAGCCCCACTCACCTCACAGAGTGTTTGTTGTGGGGGAGGAAGGGAAAGGAGAATGTTAGCCACTTTGAGACTCCTTCAGGTAGTGATAAAGCGGGATATCAAATCCAAACTCTTCTTCTCTATAGTTTTGGCCACCTCTTGAGATATCATCGTGAAACCTGGCATGAGGGTTCCCGAGATGGGTGCTGGACAGCATTTTGAATCAAATGGACAAACTGAAATGTCACTTTCATTTGACTTTTGCCCATTTTCTGGTATAGGTTCAGACACCACTAGATATCATCACCAACCTCAGCACGAGGATTCCCAAGGTGGGGCTGGAGGACTTCAGCGCTGTGTAGATGCTGGGTGCCATTTTGACTCAAGATGGTGGACCAAAGCATTGCTTTGGTGTGACTTCAATTTTTTGGCATAGGTTCTGCCACCTCGGGAGATATCATCGCCAAACTAGGCATGAGTATTATGGGGGACAGCCACTATTGTTGCCCTGGGAGTCACTGCCACCACTGTTACAGAAGCCACCACCAGAGGGTGGTGCCACTGAGATCTCTGCAGCTGGTAATCATTTCCATCAATGATAGGTAAAGGGACCCCTGACCATTAGGTCCAGTCGTGACTGACTCTGGGGTTGCGGCGCTCATCTCGCTTTATTGGCCGAGGGAGCCGGCGTACAGCTTCCGGGTCATGTGGCCAGCATGTGATATAAAGGCAATGAAGGCTTGGCACACAGAAGCACTCATCGGGGGGAGGTGTTAAAGTGGTTGGTATATGACAGCTGTTCTGTTACTATTGGCCATATGCAGAAAAGTTTAGCCAGAAAGTGTGTGTGTGTGTGTGTCTCCTTCGCAAGCCACATCATTAGCCTCTAGATTAAAGATGCCACGACAAGGCAGCACAGTTAATGAAACATATATAAGAATTGACGTGATTTAAACTCAGATATCATCAATAAAGAGGATTTGCTCTTATCATTTAATTCCTCCTGACAACAGCTCAAGCACACATGGGGAAATAAGCATTCTTTTAAAATAAGAGTCAAATGATTGCAAAAAACAGTTCTGGGAGGAATTCAACAAAGTGCTGTGCTGATCGTTCTCTCAGGGCAAGCATTCCAGTTTGCCAGACGGAAAGAGCATTGTTCCGGGGATCTTCCCACCTCCAAGACCCAAGAGTTAATTTGGGGAGTGTAGGGGGGTGAGAGGGGGAGAAGTCCCATTGCACAAGTGGAATTCTTTGCACTCATCTTCCGCTTATGGGCCTGATTAGTTGAACCCTGCCCTTTGTTTCTACTCCTGAAAGTAGATTTGAAACAACCAGCTTAGCTGATAACGTACCTTAGCTGCAGCCTGCCAGAGATCACATCCCCTGCCTCTGACTCATTTGCTTCTTACCTACCAGTGTCAGAATTAGACCCCAGCTGCAGCCTGCCACAAAGCTAGCCTCCAGGCCTGATGACAATACAGAAATGTATTAAGTACTGTGTGGACCCTCTATTTTAATTCCATTTCCAGCTAATTGCGGGAAAACAATGCCACAGCAACACTAAAGATCTCTGACTTGGAGGCAGCCATTCTTTGCATATTTAACTATGTGATACAAAAGTTAAGTTTCATTCAGCTCCAAGTCCAAGCCAACAGCTACCAGCACATTCCAGCTGAGTGCTCAAAAGATACACTTGAAGGAAGCTTCCCATCTAAACCTTAGCTCCTGTCTACTGTAGCTGTGCTGTATAAGACACTGCGAATTATAGTTGCTGGTCCCCTCTTGCAAGAACTTTTTATTCTGCTCATAGAATGGGAGACTCAGGGCCAAATGAGGTGTGACATTAATTTTGTAAAGGAAATACATAGGTTTTTAGCTGTGTAAATAGCTGGGGAAGCATGACCAGCTTCAGGGCTGGGCAGAGAAGGGGGAGTTTAACTCTTTCTCTC